ACCTTCCGATTACAAGACGAACTCCCAACTCTTGAGCCACGATCGCCCCTAATGAATGTCTTTATGTAGTTAAATTAACAAAGAAAACGCATCAAAAAGATTTTATTTAAACATATACAGATGGATAGTATGAACCGTGAACGTAATCACTTCTGTTTGTCTCCTTAACCTCTTAAGCCCCAACGCCCCCTGATACGGGGGCAAGGGCAGGAGATCAGTCAGGCTCGGGGCTTAAGAGGTTAAAGGTCTAAGGATCTAAAGACGTTATAGTATACAGCATGAAAATAGTCTTCAAAATGAAAGAAATGTTATCATTTTAGTGTAACGTAAAGGACCAGATTGCTAATCTAATGTTTTTGTAATGTAATTGAGGCATTCTCAAAGTTTTACTACACATAGAATTTAAATAGCTTTTATTGCTTTTTAAATCCTGGTGGAATAATCAATAATACAAATGCAAGGTTGCATTAATTTTTTATGTTAATCATTTTATTTCCTTATATTCAAAGGTTCCTGTGGATGGACCAGGACTCTACACCGGCCCTGTCTTCACTGCTGCTTCTACAGGCCCGCTTTTCTCTACATAGTCATGCACACTTTGTAATATGGACCCTGTTCAAGGCAAACGTTTTGATTTGTCACAGTCGGAAAGCCCAGAGCTCTGAAGCTGGTGGTTTGTGCCATGGTTCGTTTACTTTCCCAGTGTCACAGTGTGTACCGAGCTCCTTAATTGCTTAATCAACCAGGGTCATGTGGCCCTGTCCTCCCACCCATTGGGTAAAAGGCACAGGTACACCAATCACACGGGGTACCTGAAAACAGACAAGCATTCAAGCTCAGGTGTCTTTGTACTGTTAGAGAACACCTGAAGAACATGCCACACAAAAAGCCGCTGTGGAACCAACTGTTAGCACTACTGCAACGTCTTCCATGAGTGGTTTTAGTTTGTCACCATATTGTTTTTGTTTGTTTTAACCCCAGTGATTAACCTGCCCTTTGTTTCCACTCTGGAGGCTCGTTTATATTTCAACAACGACCACCTTCGGCACATAACATGAGAACTATGAAAGCAGGTTCAGAGCACTTTGCTGATTGTGACCAATGTTATGCCTGTAAGACATCTCACCTTTTCTAAAGGTACTTGAATGATCACCTTGTTTGTTTTTGTAGGGGATAGGAGGGGTAAAAAAAGTCATAGTAAAAGTGGACGATGTGTGCATGCGTGTGTGTACATATGTATGACAAATGTATAGTTTAGTAGCAGTTTAGCCCAATATTCTATTAGCTGATCAACACTTAAGTCTGACCCACAGCAGACAGTCTGCAGGACATTTCTCATAGTCACACAAAAGCAGAAGCTGGACTGTTAAGTGAAAAGTTGTATCTGTGGATGACAGCTAACTGTTGTTAGTCTTTGTATTACATTGTTGACCTAAATTTAAACAAATGTTTCTCATACAAGGCTGTTAAACTTTTATTCTGGCCTTCTAAACATATGTATACAGAAATAAAGATTATATTTATGTTATTTAGTAGACGGACTGCATTGTCTTTCTTTGTTCACAGACCTGTACCAGCACTCGTTAGTGTTTTTGACTTCACACCAACATTTTTAACGAGGATGGCATTGTTCTGGAGTCTCCACCTGATGCTTAGTGTGTAACTTATCCTGCTAAAATGCTGTGAACACAAACACAAACATATTGTCTAAATGTCAACACATTACATGCAGTCGGGCAAAGAACCGTTAACTAGTTCATATTAAACTATGAACTATAAATGGCAGAAGATACTTTGATTTGGGGGAGATTTTTGTCACCTTTGTTAAATAGTTTTAGTGACTCAAGAAAGCAGAGAAAGGGGAGGGGGGAAGACCTCACCTGGACCTAAACTGGTGCTCCACACACTTTTTAATCAGACGTTTGTGTAAGGGTACTGCTGAGGCATAAACATGGTATTATTCCTCCTAAAAATAGAGCTAAATGGAGACAGATTATGCTGATACTTTAGCCTGAGGACGTCGCTGTAAAATACACACTGCTTACCAAACTAAGTCAGTATTTGAACAAATTAAATCGGTACCATGAGGATAAATGGTGATTTAAAGCTTTAAATGTGAATGCTGTTTCTGTATAAAGTTCTGTTTGAGGTGAAATGTGGGACATTATAATTCAGCAACATTTAGTGCAGCTCCGCAGCCTTTTTTGCGCCACGGACCAGTTTAACGGAGCGGCCTTTAAGCTGTCGCAGATAAATACAACAAAATAAACGATACGACCGAGACAAATATAATAATAAACACAAATTCACTGTAATTGTGTAACATTGTTAGCAGCGTCCTCCTGAAATACACCAGCAACATTGAGAGGAACATCTTCCTCTCTGCCATATAATGCTCTCTGGTCGCTATGGTAACGTGTAAATATTTCTTTCAAAATAAGACACACGACTACAACACGGGAAAAAACAGTTAATGTTAGTACACAGCCAAAAGCATTGATAGCTATTTGAATTCATATTATGCCAAGAACCAATCAGCTAATTAAGAGAAATGACAGTTTCTCAGTCAATGTGCCCCCCAGTGCAGGAGCAGGTGTGATGGTGTGTGTGTGGGGGGGGGGCGTTGCTGCTGACACTGTTGGGGATTTATTCAAAACTGAAGGCAAACTGAACCATGGCTACCACAGCATCCTGCAGAGACATGCCATGGCCGTAGAGTGAGGGCAAAAGGCCAAACTCCTTCAAGACTGTTGGAAAATAATTTCAGGTGATGATGTCATGAAGTTCATCGAGGGAGCCAAGAGTGTGCACAGCAGTAATCAAAGCAAAGGGGGGCTAGTTTGAAAGATCTAAAATATAAAACATATTTTGAGTTATTTCACACATTTTTCTTTACTACAGAATTCCACATGTGTTCATTCAGAGTTTTGATGCCTTCAGTGAGAATCTACAATGAAAATAAAGTAAAACTATTAAGTGAGAAGTTGTTTGAATTGTAATGCAGGTCTATGTTCATTTATATTAGCATTTCTTGTGAACCCCGATTAGGTCCAATGCATTAATGTCGGGGCTGTTGTATATAAAATTGCTTAGAGACTGGGTTTTAGTGTAAAAACACTGCTATTTCAGATGCCAGTCCAATTAGAAATGTATATTTTTGCTGGTTACCCTTGATGACCTCAGAGGTCTGGGGTAGCAGGCTCAGGAAAGCTTCTCTGAATTCTTACAAAATGGTTACAGTAACATTTTAACTAGCTAGATTTATGCAGTTTGAAATAATGCATGAATAATGCATGTCAGTGCTTGTGACACAGCCCTGTGTTAGACAATGTGCTCGTGAGAAAATGGGCAACATGCACAAATAGGCAGAATTTCACATCCCAGCGTTGGCAGCACAGACCTCGAGCAGACAAGAAGCCAACAAGCCAGCAGTCACAGGGTTCTGATATGACCGAGAGGAGTGCTTCACATCGTCTCTCACACAACTAAATCACAAGTACTAACATGCAGTCTGTGTGTACTACTGAAATAGCACACAGTAGGTCTTCTTTCTTCCCTAATTGCACAGTCCCAAAGGCATGTTTATGTAAGGCTTCTTCTGTATTTACTGGTAATATCTGCAGTGGCACAGCTCTCGTATGCTCAACACTGTTTTTCCCACGCATGAAACACCATATTTTCATGTAGCACATAGTTCCTCTTCTATTTTCGCCTTCATGGACACAGGAAGATGTCCAGAGGCTGTGCTGTTTCTCTCTGTAACCACAGAATATTTAATAACTCTGGGCTGTGTCCCGAGAGGGATTATTCATTACTCAGCTCTATCACAGAATGTTACCTTAATGTTACCTTACAACTAAGAGCTACAAACCGATACACACCCACCAAAGGGGCACTGTTTAAATACACAGATTTCAGATTCCTGAAACAAAAGCTGAGTTATTTTGAGCCATGATGACACCTGGAGAAATCGTGGAGGTGGGTTATGAGGGCACCGGCCCAGTCCTTGTGATATAAAACGTTCCCCATTGTGTGGTGGACATTGTCCTCGTACGCTACAAAAACCAGCTAGTGCTCGCACACACAAGCACACATCGAGACTCTCCTCGCTGTAGTGGGTTGTGTAAGCAGATAATGGCTGAGCCAAAATTGCTCCACTTCAACTCATAATGACACATGCGGTGTGTTTTTGTGCAAGTCAGAGATGAGGTTGAGTAGAATTCCTTATGTAAGCTTGTTGTATCAAACACACACAAGCACACGGTTCATCTTACTGCTGTATTCGGTGAATTCAAGAAGCATCATTTTGTTCCACTTTTTCTTGTAGCGTTACATCCAGAAACAACTGTAAAGTATATGAATTCTAATTTCCTCATAGAGCAGTGCACACCTGCAGAGACAGAAACTCAAAAAACTACATCAACTCTTTGGAATTAGTTTCTATCTGAATGTAATTTGAGCCGACCTCAATCTGAATCACAAGTGCTTAATTGAACGGCGCTTAATTAGGACTAATGCATTCAAAGAAAGAAAATATCCTCCCACAGCTTTACACCATCACCCTTGAGTCAAGACATGATGAGTCTATCTTGTTTAACCTCCTAAGTAGGGATGCATCGATACCGATACTGGTATCGGTACCGATACC